GGCCTGGGGCCTCCTCGGGGACATCCCCGCGCCCAGCAGGGCCCGGGCCGGGCTCTGCCCTCACCCCCCGCCGGGGGGGGGCCCGCCACAGCTCCCCAGCGCTGTAACTCACCGCGGGGTGCGGGGGAGGGACGGGGCCCCGCCGGTGCGGGCGCGGTGCGTTCCCGGGCTGCCCGGCTCACGTCCCGCTCGGTAACCTCCGCACCTGGGGGCGGCTGGTCCTAGAACCCGGGTGCTGATAGCAGCCTGCCTTCCTTGCAGGGAGTTCCCTGCAAAAGGGGCAGGGAATCACACAGAAGCCGTACACGTTCGTTATCTGTGTCAGGTGTTGGTCGTGTCAGTGTGAGTAATAGTTTTACAGAACCTCATGTCGATCTACGTTGATAGGATGAACCTCATGTTGATCTTTTGCACATGCACTATGTAAGTAAAGAGCCTCCTTTTCGCCAGGATGAACGTGGATTGCTGGATTATTGAGAAATCAAACCAGAATACAGTCGATTATTTTTAGTGGCTAAGAGTGTTTGGGGTTTCCTGTTTTTCTCTGGGGGGGAAGCTCTCAGAAAGCATCCTCTTTTCCACCAGGGAGCTGTCAGTCCCTGCTAGCACAAGCCCAGGGAAATTCACCCACCCTGCAAATTCAGAAATGGTGTTTCTGGTGTTCTTGCAGTTTCTTGCTTTGGGTTGGATTTTGTCAGTTTTGTGTTGGAAATTGAAGCATAGAAGAGAAGGGAATGTCTCTGTAATTGGAATTGAGGGACAGTTCCAGACATGAGAGTTGCCTTGTGAATATCTGGGCAGAGCCATTCATGCCTGGCAGCCAGCAATGGAACCTGCCTTTAAGCAGGTGCAGTTACTTGACGTGCTGCTCTGTATTTCGAGGGAAGGTTATTTTGGGTGAATTCTGTTCCTGAAACTTTGTAGTTTTCAATACATATTAACTAACCTGTTAAAAGGTTACTAGGGTGGTATCAGGGCAAGTTTGTTTCCACGGCAAGGCTGGGCTCCTGCCTCCGGCTGCCGGTGTCTGCCTCCTTTGTTCTTGCCCTGGTGTTCCTGCCACCTCAGCTGGGTCATTTTGTTGGTACAAGACCCAGGGAGCTGATGGGCTGCCTTTAAAAGCAGGGAGAACAGGCAACAGGATGCAAATAATTCCAGTAACCCAGGTGCCAGACAGCTCACATTGGAGCACCAAAAATCACACAAACGTCTGGCTGAAACTTCTTTTGTGTTTCAAAAGCCTGAATTGAAAGACAGCGAAAGTGCCTCTTCATCTTGTGGGGATGCTTTGAAGATTTATTATTATTTATGGAAAGGTTGTAGCTGTAGAAAAGCCACTGAAGAAATTAACAGGGAACAGGACAGACAGTGTCTCTGGGTGGGCCTGGTGCAGGAGGTGTGGGACATACTGAAGAACTGCTGAGGTGAACATCGTTGTTTATCCTCATTCAAGAGCCTATGTCTTGGTGGAAAAGGAGCATTTTTGGAAACCATTTATAAAGGCTGTGCAGCAGGGACTGCTCTGGACTGGGGTTAATTTTTAACGTGCTGTTTCAGGAGGTTTTGTGTCGTTTCCTCTGTGTTGCTGCCTGTACAGATCTGCCCGGGGCTCTGGTACCACATGGGTTGGTTGTTTTGGGGAAGTTGGCTTTTCTTTGGGTTGGTTGTTTTAAACTGTTGTTTCTTCCCACCTATGAACATAGTAATGTTGGAGAACATCTCCTGCATGGACAATCTATTCCAATCTCCAGCCTGATTCTACATCTGGAATAATGCCAGCACTAGTGTCTGTATAAGAGGCAGGATTATCCCTTAAAAATCAGAGTTACTATTTCAAGATGCTGGTTGCAATAGGAAGGAGGGAGCTTTGGTGGAGTGAGTAGTTGGAGGTTTTGATCCAAAGGTTGGATTTCCACCTGTCCACCTGCTGTATTCCAGACCTGCTGCACTCTGAGAGTGGGAATGTTGTTCAGAGACCAGCCCCAGGAACTCCTCGTGTGTCTCGGCAGTTGTGGGAACAGTGTCTGAGAGAGAATTGCTGCATTTTTTTGTCTCTGGTGAATTAGAATAACGACGGCCTTTTTTTGGTAACTGTTGGGAACGTTCTGTTCCTGATGAATCTTGCTCAGCCACAGCTTGGATGTTAAGAGTGACTGGAAGTACATTTTTAAAAGCCCAGCCCACCAGTTTGCATGGAATTGCCAGGGCACGTGGGCCCAGTCAGCTGTGCCATGGAGCACACAGGGCTGCTCATGGATCCAGACAGGATGTTCCCACCTTATCACAGACATTGGAAGAATGTTTGCAATACCCTACTGCCTTTATGTAACACATTGATTCTTATTTAGAACCTAGTATGCCATTCCAGTGTGCCATAACTCCTGGATTTACTTCACAGTTTTGCTGCTGTGATTTTGTTAAATGCTGTGCTAATGCTTTGGTTTTAATGGAAGTGGGTCAAGAAATGGCACCACTTTGGCAAGCTGTTGTGTGTTCATAGGTACAGAAGAGTTAAGAGTTTCAGCATTTCCAGCTCTGTTTCATTTATTGCTACAGTGTTGCTTTCCAATTTATTAAATTGCACAATGTTGGATGAAGTAGATGCTTCTAATGTTAATGTTTTAAAAGCTGCAATTTGATGGCTCCACTGTAGTTTTTAACATCAGGTTTAAATTTAAAGTATGATAAAGTAGATGTTTAGGGCAACTTTTGAGTTGGTGTAACATGCACCAACAAAAATAGACCTTGGATGTCTGCCCTGTTGGTGTTCAAGTCCTTCTCCTTTCTCCTGAACTCTGACAACTCTGCACTTTGAGTGCTTAGAGACTCAGGCAACCTTCTTCAGCCCAGATAAAACTGTTTTGGCAGTGGGATGCATTTTGAAGAGCTGGTCTCATAACTGGGAATCTAGTTAGTAAAGGTAGATCTTTGTCATGAAGAACTTGTGAATATTTTTCAGAGCTGCCTCTTCAGGCTGGTTTGTTCCTCTGGTACTTGCAGGCAGAACTGTTCCGTTCTGAGGTGTTTTGTGCAGCTCTGCTGACTGAGACTCTCTGTGAGCTGTGGAGGTTTGGGACAGACCTGTCACATTACAGTCATCTTTTAATCATGACCCTTTTTGTTTCATAGTTTGCCTTTATAAGTAATTTGAGGCCCAAAGCAGAGAGTGTAAAATGTCTTGATTTTTGTGGCTTCTGCATCATACGTCATAGCTCACGTTTTCCTGGAGCAAAGTTTTTCTTTGTCTCCTTCCCTTCTCGCAGGTCATGAAAACTGATTGCTGTTGAGGTGTTAGGTCACAGATGCATTGTGCATAACAGAGTTAATGCCCAGTCACAAATGAGGCAGTAAAACTCTTCCTGCACTGCTACAGTCAGTTGGCTTCATTTGGTGCCATTTCCAACCTGTGGTCACACAAAATGCTGTTTGATGCAAAACCTGAAATCGTGTCCTTGCGGGGCCCCCTGTGACTGCCTGCCTTGGTGAAAGTGGGGAGACAATGGGAGTCAGAAGCTTCCTACTGCCAGGCTGGCCCCCAGCTAAGCAAGGTTTTTCTTTCTTTCTTTTCCAGTGATTCTCCTTTGCCTGTTTCATCGCGTGTCTGTTTTGTAAAGTTCCACGATCCCGACTCGGCAGTCGTGGCCCAGCATCTGACAAACACTGTGTTCGTTGACAGAGCCTTGATAGTCGTACCCTATGCAGAAGGTTTGTGACTTGTTTAATGGCCTATGAAGCCACCATACCATGGCATTTCATTTCAGTATAGTTCTCAAAAAATGAGGGTTAGTCAAATGTCAAACATGTAAGAGATTCACATTTTTAAACCCTTGGTATATTGCCATTGGCCCATGGATTAAACAATAATTGTTTTTAATCTAGTGCCACTGAATTCAAGTGGAAAGTTTACCTCTTCCTGGTTTTGTGTGTCTTTAAGTTTAGATTATTAACATTTTAGGCAGAATTATTTGCAAATTTTGCTATTTGTCTGTCTCAATGAGACATTTGCCTAAACAGAGGTAAGCCAACAGGTCAACATCCTAAGGAAATTTTGCCTTAATAACTGTTTGCCACTTCCATGTAGGCATAAATCTCTTCATGAGAATGGCTTCTCCCTCCCTGGGGGAGCAGATTAATGTCTCTTTAAGAGCTGCTGCTGCTGGGTTTAGTTGGGGGCTCCCTGAAAGGCACTCGCTCTCGCTGAGAAGTCCAGTATACCAAGGGTTTGAATAATTATGGTTTAATTTGAAAGTGAGATCTTCCAAGAGGTGCCAAATGGGCACTGGTACTAGTATTTTATTCCAAGTTTTCTTGTTCATCCTTTGATATATTTTATAGAATTTCACTAAATAATAAACTCTTCTCTCTGTTATTTGTGTGTGTGATTTTTGTAGTGGAGAAGGCAAATGCAAAGCCCTTCCAGATGACTGAAAAACAGTGGGTCCTCTGCAGCTACAGGGGATTCTAGACATTAACTAAAGGCCAGCAAGCACTCAAGTCCCCAAGTGTTTTCCTGGTGTAACCACTTGTTAACTACATTTTCTCTTCTTTTTATTTTTACATTTTAGGGTGTTACAGTAATTTGAAAGGCAATGAGCAGGGTTTTTGGAACTTACCTTAAAAACAAAGTGCTGAGAAGACACCTCTTCTTACAGAAGTCTTATTAAAACTCTTCTAGACTTGCTTTAGAAGTAATTTATTTCCATTGTACTGTTTCTTGATTTGCTTCTGAAATAATGGCTTTTCCCAGGTAGCTTGAATTAAATGCAATCTCTGCAGATTAAGTCATACTACAGTAGTAAATGTGATAGATGACCTGGATCAGACCTGTAACTGAGACACTGCAATGCTGTAGGCTGTCTTTGGAGGCCTGGGGAGCTGTCTTTGTGTTCCTTAAACTTCAGAGATATGAAAACTTAATTTCTGGAGCGTAGGAATCTGCAGCCTGACCTCTGGTTGAGACATGCTGCTTTTTGAGGGGGCAGAACATGTTCTGAAATTGCCACTGAGCTACTGCTTCTGCTTTTGCTAGTTTAGGTACAACAGCACAGTTGAAAGGCTTCTTGTCCTCATCTTTGTATTAAAGCTGGATACAGCAGCAGTCTGAGTTAGCTCTGAAATACTCACCAAGGCCCATGGTAAAGAATGTTGGTGTTTAACTTCTCCAGTAAGGATAAAACATTTTTCTCTTTGTCAGTCTGACTTTGTCCATGGTGCTTGATGGTGGATAAATCTGGCACACAGAGAAATCTGCCCAGTAACTTTGGTTCAGATTCTGTAAAAGAAAATAAAATTAATCAAGTAGAATATTTTAATGGGCTCATTTAAATCAAGGAGTTCTTCCTGGGCCATTTCTGGTGCTGTTCTAGTTCAGCATGTTGATGGGTTTGGCAGAACAGCGGGGCGTATCCCAGGAGATATGTTGAGCCCATAAGGTGTTGCCCCTGGTCTGGGATCATATGCCTTAGTCCCTGTCCTGGAAAACCCTTTTCCCTGCAAACACATCCTGCCAGGGTCCCAATTCAACAAGCTGTTCAAGCAGCAAGATTCTTAAAAAGATCATGAAACTGCTCATGTGCTTAATGCCAGGCATGTGCTTAACTACTGTGCTGAACGGGGCCTTGTACCCTTGGGTTTCTGTTGTGATAATTGTGTGAATATTGCCTGTCACTAAAGTGAATGTTTGTTGTCTGTTTAGTGCAATAATTGCCCCTATATCGCAAGTGCACTCCAGGTTTAGCATAACAGACACTTTGGTGTTGGCTGTTGCTTTGTGTTATAGAACTATACACAAAGGCTACGGTAAGGTTTAGTATTTGTAATTTTCTCTCTGATATTCCTAGATTTGGAAGGAACTCTTTAAGATTAAAAGGTGGCTGGGGGGGGTATCTAGGTTCTTTGGTTAATGTTTGTTTCTTTTGTCTGTTTCTTTTTCTTTCATTTCTACACATTCATGCAGTATTTCATGGTTCTAACAAAGCAGCAGTAAAAAAAACTCTTGAAGCATGAAAATTAACTGGTGAGGGGCCTCATTGCTTTTTTAAAAATTGTAGTTTATTTATTTCTAAATATTTTTTTTAAACAATTAGAGGATCAGATGCATGAATTTTTTTTTTTAATGGATGCAGATCTTCTATGAGGTGTCTCAAGATAAGTCTGAGGATTTGTATTTAGATGCCAGAAATGTTGTAGTTGCACTAATTTGAAATGTTTAGCTTTAATTTATAAATATCCTCTGAGACATAATTTTGCATGCAAAATTATCCCATAATCTCTCTGTAGGTTTGTTAATATATTTATGCATTAATGCCCTTTATCTAAATGACCTTTTTCCCCCCCTCTCCCTCCATAACTTTTGGTATCTAAATTGATGACAGCTCAATGACACAAGCAAGATATCAGTGCTGTGTATTATACATTTGTTTATATTATCGGCACTTCTCAGTATAGGTGGAAGGAACCATTACCTTTATTTAACAGTGGTTTTTCTTTTTTGTTGTTGTGTTTTACAGTTCTTTTCCCTGGTTCAGCCTGAACTATATACCAGGCCCTGCTGAAAATACCACCCAACAGTTTTCTTCTGCAGCTTATCCAGTTTCTCTTAAGTGCCCTGTACATATTGTATGTTTTATGATGAGATGCAGTTTCTTAATGTGTATTACAGAAACACTACTGGTATTTGCAACTATATAGTAAAATTGTTTTATTGAACTCTCATTTTGGGGGCTTGGGCACATTAACAAATTAATCCATCTGTATAGGGCTTTTGCTGTTGGATAGAATAAAAATACCTACATAATTACTTGTTTCATGGTAGGACCCTTACAATTCTATGTGCAGAGCAGGCAGTAAAATAAGACACTTGTCTTAGTTGGCTGCAAGATTTTGGGCCAGAAGTTTCTTCTGAAATGTAGCAGCATTCTTGGTACAATAAGCATGGCACATATTGGAACAAATGCATTTTACTGCACAGGTAAGGAATGTGCCACACTGTATGTCTGCACCAGCCACCCCAGGCACACACAGCCAGCACTGGGAGAGCTGCAGAGACTCTCATTTGTCAAGTCAGCAAAAGCCCTACGCTTGATTCAACCAAAAATAGTTCCATACCTTCTCTTTTAAGTTTTGCAAAAATTTATATGGTAGGTGTAAAAGAAAACATAGTGAACTGTACCATATTATTAACCCCTAAATCAAACTTTTTTTGTCTTGTGTATCTTGATTTTTCTGTGTGCTTTATAGTGAAGCAGCCGACACGAGTCGTTGTTCATAAAACAGCTTTTGAAAGTTGAGAGCACACCCCTGGAGAACCGACTGTGCTTGCTTACGTTTGGTTCATGACTTAAAAATCGAGTACAGGTGATGAAATCTTGGCAGTGTTAACAAAAAAGTAGTGTGTATTGTGCTATTTTTTTGCTCTAGAAACTTAACCATTTGTAGAGAAAAAGGAACAGTCAAATTTTCACACATTGAAGTTTCATTCTGACAAAAAAGTTAATGATAAATATTAATAGACATCAAGCTTTGTATTTTAGCCAACATAAGTACTTTCAACAAACTCAGGTGGTGTATCAGGGAGACATTTTCTGGGTGTATTTGTGTATTTTCTGCCTTTGAAACAGAATGTGTTCTAATGCGAGGCTATTTCTCTGCAGGAGTTATTCCTGATGAGACTAAGGCTTTGTCTCTCTTGGCACCAGCTAATGCTGTGGCAGGTCTGCTGCCTGGAGGTGGACTCCTGCCCACTCCCAACCCACTTTCTCAGGTAGGCTTGCTTTCCTGCTAGGCTGAAGCCAAGGGAAACTATTAGATTAATTCTGTTAGATTGTAACTTATTTGCTGTTGTTTTTTTTCCAGGAGACATAAACTGATGTGCTAATGCTGACTCCTAGAGTGTTCTAGTTTAGATACCTTGATGGGTTGTTGGACCTGTCTGAAATGAGTTGTGGCAAAACAATGATGAGCTGCTAGATGGGACATCTTATTTCCCTAATAAGATGTTTCTGGAATTTCAGGGGCCCTGTGATGGTCTCTCTCTCCCCCCTTTTATCCCCTGTATGCCCACAGACAGATTTGGCAAGCAGGAGAGAGCTTGTAGATTTTTAATTCATGAAGCTCAAGGAGTTGTCATGCTGTGGAGACACCTCCTGTTAATACTCCAGCTGAGGGGAAAAAGTTGTAGCCTGTGTTTGCTTGTTACCAGAACTGTTCTGTAGGTTGAACGGTAAGACCAATACATTGTACAAAAGGTTTTGGTCTAAGAACATATCTTATTAGAGAATAGAGAGTCAAATTACAAGAGGCAATTTAATTAGAGGAAAGCTTCATTAATTCTGCAGTTCTCAAATCTACTTCAGCTTGTGCTTAGTCCTTCTTTCTGGAGTGTCTGTTAAGATTTCTGATTGCCTGAAAGATGGACTTGCCAGTGAGCTCTTCAGAAAGTCCTTTTAAGCACACAAAGAGGGAAAAGTCTGAAGTTTAACTTTAAAACTCAAGGAAAGGGATGGGAGAAACAAATAAATAATGTGTTGAGGATTTCTTCTTTTAGCAGGAACTGTTTGTCTCGGTTTCAGCTCTGTCACTCTGAATCCCAGCCTGCTCCCAGCCCACTCCATGGGAAAACCTATTTAGCACCTCCACTTTGTGGAAAACTTTGGATTGCTACTGAGAGTTGGGCATTAACTCAGTGAACATGAATTGGAGCTGTAGTTTATACTCTAGGAATCAGTTTGGGATTAGTGAGGTTTTCCTTCTGAGGCTGCAGGAAGAAGCCTGTGCAGTTTCAGGAGATCAGCTAGTGCAGAACTCCCTGGCAGAAAGCAGAAGTTTCTGCTCCCTTGCTCTTGACTACATGCTGCTGCTCCTGTGCTGGCTTTGGAGCTCATGAGATCCTTTGGTGGATTATTGTGTTAGCAGGGAGCACAAAGTAAGTCCTGAGGTGGCTCAGTGTGTTTGGACTGGTTGACAAATGAATCTCAAGTGCCAGAGGGGAGGGGAGAGCAAGGCCTCCCAGCACCAGCATTGGATTCCCATCCCATCATGTGTTTGCAGCACAGTGTGTGTTTTGTTTCACTGGACATTTTGATCAACTCACTTTAAATGGGAAAAAAATCAGGTTCTTTAATGAGGCTTCTAGGTGAATTTAAAGAATTTAGACCTATGTTGTCATGCTTCGTATTCTTCTAGTGGCTTTTCTACCCATTTGCCAGATTTAACCAAAATTGAGAACTCTGTAGAGATGTAGCCATATTATTTTGTCTTTTAACATGAAACATGTTAATTTAAATTCTGAATTGATGTAGATAGGTGGTAGTTGGCTTAGAAACTTAACAATGGATGTTCATTTTAACACTGGAGAGGAGTGTCATTCTAGACTATTTCTTGAATGTGTTGGAAAGCTTTACTTTTTTTTCCCTGCCCATTGGGAACCAGAGGAAACTAATTTCATTTTAGAAATACTCTTGCTGACCTTAGGGTAAGTTCCTGTAGCTTGAAGTCTGAATGTGGCCTTGGCTAATTGGTGTCTTCCTTACAGATTGGTGCTGTTCCTTTAGCTGCTTTAGGAGCTCCTGCTCTTGATCCTGCCCTAGCTGCTCTTGGGCTTCCTGGAGCAAACTTAAACTCTCAGGTATGTCACACACTAACATTTTCCTTCTTGTCCCTAGCACACAGGGCAGCTTCACTAACATACACGGTGCTCTTGGTGCTCACCAGTATTAAATGTGATGTTCTCACCATCACCACCATCCACAAGTTTTGAAACAGAACAAGGTGTCTTTCCCTCTCTACTTTGTTTGGAGTCTGGTTTGGTTTTTAAAACTGTAGAGACTTTTAGTTTTAGCCTCTGCTGAGGGTGCATTTGAGGGAGATCATCTCTTGAGCACACACAGCTTCCAGCATGGTGGTAACTCTTCTTTCTTTTTCCCTCACAGTCTCTCGCAGCAGATCAGCTCCTAAAACTGATGAGCACAGTGGATCCAAAGTAAGCAGCAGTGTTTACGTATCCTTGTATTGCAGCACACTTGATATTGGGAATATCTGTTGTGATCCAGTCTTTGTCCTGATGGATCTAATTAAAGTCAAAGTAAAACAGTGTCTAAGGGATCTGGTGCAGACTCTGTTCTGTGTCAATGTACATTAGAGCTGTCAGAAGATGGAAAAAAACCAAACACATCTTAGTACTTGGGAGGAAAATGTTTGCTGATTTGTGTTTCAGTGTTCAGAAAAAGGCTTATTTTGTTCTGTTGGGGACAGCAAGCAGGGATGATTGTAGCACTTGATACGAGTTTCTAAGCTTCTTTTTTCTTTGGCAGGTTGAACCATGTAGCTGCAGGTCTTGTTTCACCAAGTCTGAAATCAGATACCTCCAGTAAAGAAATAGAAGAAGCTATGAAAAGAGTACGAGAAGCACAGTCCTTAATTTCTGCTGCTATAGAGCCAGGTAATGGTGAATCCTAGAATTCCTCATCCAGTTCCAGGTGGCCTTTTGATGTAGCATAATTCTAAAAGCTTTTGGTCTGCAGGACACTGGCTTAAAGCTTTCATCTTCTGTAGTGACTTGACCTACAGTTGGCAGGTTTTTAATGGTCAGTGCTGCATGTGCCCTGCAGAATGGTGCAGGGAATTGATCAGCTGGTGCTTTCCCTGGATTCACTTGATTTGAGAAGGGAAAGTGCTTGAGCTTCCCCTGCTTGAGCTTGCACTGGGAAACCACAGGTGATTTAACCCCTTGGCATCCTGGTGGTGTTTGTTCCTGGGGATTATTTACTTTCTTGTAATGCCTGATCTGTGAAAGTTTGTAAATAATCATTCTGTAGCTTATTTCAGTAGATTTTCTTTTGGAATAAGGTGCAGCAATTCATCCACAAATCTGTGATCTGACAGATTTGTTTTTGACTGCAAAATACAGTTTTGCAGTCTCCTGATTACATTCAGGGCAGAACAGAGCCCCTGTTCTTTTGTTCCACCAGAACACATGGTGATTGTTTTGCTTGAGGCTTATTTGTGGGAATTTCAATTCTTTAGCCCTTCCCAAAAGAGCAGGTTCTGAGGTTTTAACAAGACTCTCTTGCCCTGCAACTGACTTAATTTAAGTATTTTCTGAGTTCTAACTTCTTCAGTTCTGTTTGAAACTTTGTTGTTGTATGTCACATACATGTCTCTGTCATGTCTTCACTCTTCCCTTTTCTTAAAAGATGAAGGTGAGGCTTCATTTCAAATGTCAAAATATTCCTTGAGTTTCCTTTATCATACTTCTATCTGTAGTGTGAAGTCCAACTTCCTTTCCTTTATAAAATCTTTTTGAGAGCTACAAGAACATGCTTTTTTTACTGTGCTTTTCCCTTTTAACCCAGACAAAAAAGATGAAAAACGAAGGCATTCAAGGTCAAGATCACGCTCAAGGAGGAGGAGGACACCTTCTTCATCTAGACACAGGTAGGTGGCTTTTTTGCTTTTAAAAAAATCCCACATAGCTGAAAGAATTCCTGCAAAAATACTTCTTGGAAGTGACTCTTGACCGATGGAGGCTGGCAGGAGGAGAATGAAATGAAGGTTTAGGCTGGGATTGGGCTGCAGTGTGAGATGGAGACCCACCTCTGTGTTTGTAGAAAGGGGGGGAGAGGTGATAGCAAAAACTACCTCAGAAATACCTGAAACTGCTGCAGAAATAACTTCAGGAGCTCTAAGAACAGGACACTGACTGAGGTGGCTTCCTTCCCTAGCAGTGCTTGGGCTCTGCTTTTGTCTGGTACAGGAAACAAGGGACTGGGTTTGTAGCAGATGAGAAACACCTCAGCGCAAGGCTTGGCTTCACACACCCCTCACTGCTGTGAGCATTTAGAAGCCATCCTAGGCTGTTATTGAACAACACTTGCTTAAGCTCTGCTCTTGCCTCAGTCTCTTTCCAGTGTGCTCCTGTGGTGATTATGATTTGTCTTGAAACCCAGTACTGGGAGACTTCCCTGATGTGCAGTGAATGTTGCCCAGTTGGGCTGTTTGTTTCTAGGATGGGCAGCAAAAACAGATGAGTAGAAGTAGCTGGGAGAAAAGTTGTTCCAGAATTCTCTAGGTGATTATTTTAATGGAGACCAGGTCTGTATGGGTGTCCTGCCCAGCAATCTTCATGCTGTCCTACCCACCAGAAGTGCTTCTGGCTGGTTGGTGCTGTTGCTGTGTCAGCCCCAACTACGCAGCGGGTGCCTCTGCTCTTCATTTTAACCATGGCCTTCCCATTGGTGCTGCTTTGCTCTTTGCACCCTCAGCAATTGGCTTCTGTTTGGCTTAGTGTTCTGAACATTCCTGCAGACAAACTTGACTGGTTTTTCTCTACAGAGGAACAGATGTTCTCTCACAAGGAGAGCAGTGGGAGCTGATGGGGGCAGCACTGCTCTGACATTCAGTGCTTGTGCCCTTCCTTTTCGCATCTCCTTGTTGGACTCAGTGTGACTCCTTAGCTGCTTTTTAAATTCTTTTCTCTGTTTTCCATGTCCTTGTGCATGACAGTAATTTCACACTGAGTGCATGGTTTCTGAACAGTCCATGTGTTTCCTCCCCTGTGTGCTGTGTCCCTGGTAGACGGTCCAGAAGCAGGTCAAGGAGAAGGTCCCATTCCAAATCGAGAAGCAGGAGGCGATCGAAAAGTCCAAGGCGAAGAAGATCTCATTCCAGAGAGAGAAGCAGAAGGTCTAGGAGCACATCCAAAACCAGGTAATTGCTTCAATAAAGTTATTCTATTTGCTGGAAATTATTAGATGTAGGAGCTTAATTTAAAAGCAAACTAACAAATGCAACTAAACAGAAAACCTAGGGCAGAAGGAACTAGTGGCTCTTGGTCAAGTCGCAGTCTCCTGTACCATCTTAGAGAATTCTGTAACCTGCTTTGCCCAGGGGGCAGCAGAGGCAGCAGGCATGAGCTGACTCACCCAGTCACTGCCTTTGGGAAGCAGGAAATGGGAGCACCTGGACTTGCATGTTTTGTGTTGTTCATACACAGGAGCTATAAAGAGCTGTTGTTTTTTTTATGTAGATGATTTCTATTGTTTCCATCAAATTAAGGTGACTGACCCCAGAAATACTAGGCACCATGTGCCATCCAGTGTAGCCATCATGTCCTCATTCATTTTCCTGTGTAGCTAAAGCAGTGGATCCTACTTGAATAGTTTGAAAATTACTTAAACTTTAAATCTGTGTTTTACTAAAAGGGATAAAAAGAAGGAAGAGAAAGAAAAGAAACGTTCCAAAACTCCCCCCAAAAGCTACAGCACAACCAGACGATCAAGAAGCACAAGCAGGTACAGTAAAAGGAATGTTTTCCATGGGCTCTGTTTCCAGCAGGGTGTATCCACTTCAGTAGAAAGAACATTCTTGCATGCAACAGGATGATGGTTCTGTGGTGGATACACTGGGTGTATGCACAAGTGCATGTGTGTTCCCTCTGCCTCTGTCTAGAAGATGATTTATTTTTCCCTGATACTGTAATTTTCTGGGTGTTGTTTGAGCTTTGAATGGTCTCCTTGCTCTGTATCAAAGGGAGAACGATGTTTTGAGGTCACTGAGAAACTCTTTCCTGATCTGTGGAATAAATACATGTCATTCCATTTAAAAAAAACTTCCAGAACTAATTTGCAGTCATGACAAGAACTGGTTTGTTTCTGTTTGCAAAAGAGTTGGTGTCCCTGATGGAGTCTAAGCTGGGCATTTGTTCATGGAGGTGGGGATGGAACAGAACTTGCTCCACTGCTCAGCAGCTGTGTGGGCTTTTCTAGTAAGCAAGATCCACTTGAAGTTATACGTAGGTGCTACCTTGGGAGCAGTGCTAGGTTTGGAGCTGGAGGTGTATTTGTAGCTTTAAAAAAAAAACAAACCAAAAAGAAAGAAGAAACCCAAGGCTTTGCTCTCTTTTTCCTGCAGAGAAAGACGACGCAGGAGAAGCAGGAGTGGGTCCCGGTCACCCAAGAAGCCCAGGTCTCCTAAAAGGAAAGTGTCCAGGTCCCCATCTCCACGGAGGTCAGTGGGGCTCTTGGCTGAGGAAGAAAAGGTGTCTGGGTGGGAGGTTCCTGGGTGTGAACTATAGCAGAGATCATGGAGGGGTCGGCGTGCAGGGAGGGGTGTGGCTTGTCCCTTACACCTTGCACATAGCCTGACTTCTTGAGAGAGAGAGTAGATTTCTGCTGCCTGCTACATTTTATCAGCATCTATTGGTTTCAAGCATAGAGCTTCTCCCTTAGTGCCCAGAACTCCCAGTGTGTGGTATTCCAGGGGTGAAGGGCAGAGATACCTGGGTTGCCAGCCCATCTGGCTCTGTACAGTTGGAGTCAACTGACTTCTGGGTGGGCCTGGGCATTTTGTGACCCTCTCTGCCTAAACATGGAACATGGGGTGGTGCTCCTTCATGAAATGCTGCAGCATTTTTCTTAACATGGTCTTCTGCTTCTGGTGATTGTGTTTGGTCCAGAGCCGAGGAATGGGAATGTTGGGTTATTTACTGAAAGCAAATACTGTCTGTTCTTCACTTTGAGGGTGGTGAGAGCCTGGCCCAGGTTGCCCAGGGAAGCTGTGGCTGCCCCATCCCTGGCAGTGTTGAAGGGCAGGTTGGATGGGGCTTGGAGCAGCCTGGGCTGGTAGGAGGTGTCCCTGCCCATGCAGGGGTGGGACTGGATGATTTTTAAGGTCCCTTCCAACCCAAACTAGTCTGGGATCTTAGTTGCACACTGCTGTTTCTCCCTTTAGATTTGTGGCGACCTAGAATCTGTAACGGGCAAAGGTCTGGGCACGGTCTGTGTCCTGGTTACAGGATGGTCTGATGGTGGCTTTAATTCTTCTACACACTTCATCATTGCAGACATAAAAAGGAGAAGAAGAAGGATAAAGACAAGGAGAGAAGCAGAGATGAGAGGGAGCGGTCAACAAGCAAGAAGAAAAAGAGCAAAGACAAGGAGAAGGATCGGGAACGGAAATCGGAGAGCGATAAGGATGTGAAAGTATGTGTAAAACACCCCCCCACAGCCTGGGCGCTCGCAGCCTGCAGGGCCTGGCAAGGCAAGTTTTACTGGTGTTTTTCTATCTTGGCAAAGCAGGTCACAAGGGATTATGATGAAGAAGAACAAGGATACGACAGCGAGAAGGAGAAGAAGGAAGAGAAGAAAGCGGCAGATTCTTCCTCCCCTAAAGCGAAGGAGTCCGGGGCTGAGAAGGGAGGCGGAGATTCAGCAAGGGAATCCAAGGTGAACGGGGATGACCACCACGAGGAGGACATGGACATGAGTGACTGAGCTTGGCCTTTGCAGTGAACACAGCTGCAGACGTGCATCAGTGTCATTCCTGTGTGATTCTTTTATGCTGTACTTGTTAATCCTAAATCTAGATGTATACAGCTCTGAGCTATACCTGGTTTGTAAATCTCCTGATACTAACTCGCCTCCAAAGCTTTCTAGAAAGGTAACCATCCTGTTCTGGCCCACAGGGATTGCCAGCCCAGCAACTCTGACTAACTTGGTGATGCTTCAAGCAAAAAAAAAGCTGCATGCATCTACAGCAGGCATGGACTGTTTGTTGTATGATCTCCTGTAGTCAATCAGCTCACTTATGATAGTGTTTCTAGAGTTTGATTCATTGCAGTACTAGAGCAGTATAGGAATGCACTGACTGCATGTTGGTCGTGGCAGAAACATCCCACATGTCCTACACTCTACCAGATGTGGTGGAGCTACTTAAGGGTCTTAAGTGTGACTACACAAACAAAACAAAAAAAACAAAAACAAAAAAAACACCAGTACATCTGAAAATAAGCATTCTGATAGAGATATTTTTTCCATTTCTGTTTGTTTTTTTAAAGCCATGTGGCTGGGGTTGGTTTGGTTTGTTCTTCCTGGTGATTTTTGTTTGGCTTCAACAAAGCTAAAATGCACTGACCTTTTTGAGGGCTTTTTTTAATGTCAGTTCCAGTCCATCTCAGGGGAGGTGTGAGGGTTTGTAACTTTTCCACTTGAGCCTCGGGGAATGAAAATTTCTGCTTGATCATTGCCCAGTGATGAAAGGTTGCTTTGTGCACTTCTCATAACCCAGGTCCTTTTATTTGTTGTTAAGCAAAACACATGACAAAAGGGTAGTGCAACTTAAAATTGGCCATGGTATGCTTTTAAAAGCAGGTCTACTTGATAATGTACTTTTTACTTGATCTCAAGTTGTATAAACTGATGAATTTGTGTTTACTGTCACTGCAGTAGTACCCTTATGCACAGTGATTCCATGTTATATGCAGAGTAGTTAGGCAAGCTGTTTTCTTAGTTCCAGAAGTTCAAGAGCTTTTACTTTTGTGCAGGTAAGAAGACAAAAGTAGGCTACAGTCTGTGCCATGTTGATGTACAGTTTCTGAAATTGTTTTACACAACTTTGATAATAAAACCCTTAAACTTATACTCATGTTCCTATAAAACTCTGCTGGCATTTATTTACACCACTGAATGTATGAAACCTTACCTCAGTCACTGAGAAGGGATGTTTTTCTGTTTTTAAAAGGCCACAACAACCCTTGTCTCTTTATGAACTGGGAGTGCAGTGATGAAGGTGGCAGGCTGCCACCTCAGCCCGAGAAAAAGTTATTTTACTTTGGGGGGGCGGGTGAAGGGGAGGGGCTTAAATGGGGATCTAGAGGTACTGAGGGACAAGGACTTTTAAAAAGAAATGCATATTTGTAAAATTCTTTTGTATTTTCATGGAAACACGAGCATTCACCTCTTCAGGATGGTAATGGCAGACTGGCAGGAGCAGGAAGCAGTGTTTTGTGTGTACAAAGTAGCTGTTCATGTCAACTGAAACCTTCCTGCT